GTCATTATTTAAAAATTGCGGACTTACGTAATTACAAATGTCACTGGGATTAAGATGAAGAGACTCAACGGTAATACATGCAATTTCCCATACGCCATTCTTGTTTCGTCCTCAATGCTGTAACATGCATTGTTCTTATCTTGTGTTATTCTTATATAGTTCGATGCGTTCTACATCTACGCTTGGATTCAATGCATTATTTGTTACATTCCTTATTGGATTGATTAGTGGCGATACAATAATTTTGATCGATCTATTAAACATAAAAAAAAATAATGAAGAGACGCGAGTTTTGAATTGATTGAAAAAGAATTGAAGTGATACATGGCCATTCATAAAGGATACAGTTAAGATGATCCAGAGGACTTTAGGCAGGATCCTCCTTGTAATTTATAATGTTCGTTTTACGTTTTTTAATACCAATTGGTAACATTAACAGTGAAAAATTATATTCGCTAATTATACCGAAGTGCTAATGAATCATACATAAAAATATACATATAAATGCGTCAACTACAGGAAGAATAAGTACAAATATAGATTTAATAAATAGATCATTTTTTATAATCCCCCAATTTTATTAAATCATTTGTTATATCGAATCGCCCATATTAATGAAACATTCAAGAGGTTGTACGATCAAGTTTTTAACACAAAACTTCATTATATTAAATTTCCAAAATAAGAAATAGAATTTATTTTAAGGATAATAAAATGGAAATTTGTAAAAAAAAATGCGATCAAAATTCTACCATAAAATTTTATTATAAAAAGAATACCGGAAATTACTTTATAAAAGTATATCGACTTACCTTGAAAATTTTGCGTAGTTAGTGGCTTTTTTTCTAAGAATATATTATCAAGATTCATACCACAGGGACATTTGATCGTGAGGCGTCTTGTAGCGACTGTCTGTCGCTGTGCTACCTCTTATCGTTCGCACCGTACCAATCGCCACGCACACTATTGCGTGTTAATTAACGTGAGACGTGTAATATATGATATATGTGCGCTTATGCGAAATTTAATTTATTTTTTAATATATTTTCATGAGAATTTTTTAACGTACAAGAAATAACGACTAACAATATTTATTGTTTAAATTAGTATCAGATGATAAGTCGGATGAAATTATCATCTTATCAATATATCATCACTATATATTTAAAAATCACACATTAAAGAGAAATAAATTTTAAATTATTTTTTAATTTGATCAAATCAATAATGAATTATTTAGTTAATTGAATATATACGAAGTTTGATAAAAAAATAAGCGAACGTTACTCGGAAGATTATAACGATTGTAGTACTGCAAATCGCATGTCTCCGTTGCCGAATAATTCAAAAGGTTCGCTTATTTTTTTATTAGACCTTGTATACCTATACTTCAAGTTATGAAAACTGATTTTCAATAAAAAATGGAGATTTGAAAGAATAATATGTAAGTATATAAGTATATATCACACTTTTTTAATATTTAAAACCTTGTAATTAATATAAGAAACTTAATGCTTTTTATTACTTTGATTTTTTTTGTGGAGCGCGAATTATCTATTTTTATTTTTAAGTGAATATTTCGGCACATTTACTTTATAGGAGAAAAATCGGTCGATGGATGATTCAAAGATATAATTATTTAACATCATCAAATTAAACGTAACGAACCGTGCACAACAAATATACGCCTCGTTTGAAATTAATGAGTAGACTAGGCATTCGTAATTAACGCAACGCTATCGATATCACATTCATTGGAATGTTAATAGGGCCATTTGATCGTGCTGTTTCTAATTCGACTGTAATTTCAGACTGTATTTCTGCGTCCATTATCGAGTTACGGCTGTTCCACTGAATATACTGATAAAATGCCGACTTAAAATTAAGAGACTTTTCGTAGAGAGGTGTAAAAAATTTGTAATTAGGATATGAAAGAATAAAATAACGCATGTACAAGGATTACGTATTTGAATCACATTTTTATATCAACAACATTACGACAATACAATATGTTCTATAATTTTTTAATTTTATTTTTATCGCTAGAATATATTTAGCGATTTGCTTTTTATTATAGACAAGTTTGATAATTATTTTTTGCTAAGTAATTATTTAATATCTATACAGGTATTTTTTTTATGTAAACCGAATTTCAGAAAAATTTAATGCAACATTCTTGACTTAGCAATTTATACATATATATCAAAGCTATAAAAAAAATAGACATGTTTTCTTTTATTTTTAATTTTTCAATTAACTTTTTCATTGTTTTTTTGAATATTTTTTAAGTGAGTTTCCTACGATCATAGGGAACTCACTTAATTTGAGAGCGAGGAAAATACATTTATAATTCAAACTGGATATAAAGTTTCTTGTTCGGCGAATTTTACACTGTCTTTTAAAGGACGTCTTTTTTTAATGTTATTAATTTGTATATTAATTGGATCACGAAAGTTTTACTGAAATATCTAAAAATTTAGCTGGATACAGATAAACATAGTTATGTTTGAACTATCCAAATAATTATGTAGGACATTTTTTGGTTACTAGAGCATTAAAGCTTTTTGCAGTCATAAACATTTAAAGATGCACTATACATATTTTAAAATAATAAAAAAATTATGGAAAATTTTACAGATAATTCTAGATAGCATTTAAAAGCAATACAAATTTAATAACGGTTTACTTCAAAAGTTGTTTCTATAAGAATAAATTTCAATAAGTTTATCTGTGCTCTAATGGAAATGTTTGGAAATTTTAAATGTTATTTAAAAATATGTCATTTTGAATATTTAAAGTACTTATACAAAAACGTTTAAAGATTTTTGTTATAATATAATTTTTAAAATTTTAGTTTATAGCGAAAAAATAATAACAAAATAATAACAGAGTAAATCAATTATAAAAATATGTTGTTCAATAAAAATAAAATGTTATAAACACAACTTTTATATGTGTATATAGTTCGCTTGTATAAAAAGATGTGTATGTATATACGTGTATGTATGTGCGCTATATATACATTTCTCACACTCTTTAAATTTTACATAATTATTTTGAGGATCTAAAAAGGTTATTTTCAAATCTGTATCTGATTAAATTTTTAGATACTTTAACAAAACTATTCTTTTTGTAAATAATTTTAAAAACAAGTATATTCATAAATAAGCGTATTTTAAATATTTATTATTTTATTGCTTAAATTTTGGTTTTTATTAATTAAATAATTAATATTTGTGAATATTTACGAAATTTATTTTTTTTTTGTCTTATTCTTATCGTTTAATTAATATAAACAATTTTTACGTATTCGATAAAGTTATATTTTATTTCAACAAAAATTTTGCATATATATATCTCAATCAGTGAAAGACACGATTTTTATAGACATTATACTAATCTATAATGATTATTATATATTTAATATTATCGGCATTTAATCATTTAATTTAAAATATAGATACACTTAAAATTCAGTGTATATACATGGCATGAGTATCGAGTATTTACATACTAATATAAATAGTTTGATAAATAAATTAATAGATGCACATTATTATATCTGGAGTCTATCATTGATTTCATTATGTGAATCAAATCTCAAAAAAGAGAACGCCGTGAATAATAATATTTACGTATATATGCACTTTGTATTTTTATATTTTCACGACGCATTATATTTTAAATGCGATCGGACTAGTTCCCAAAACTTAAACTAATGTGTCTACATACAATCTTTTCATACATTTGCACAGTTTGTGCTTATTTAGCTGTACAATCGTAGCCAAAGATACATATTTCGATCGTTTATAAACGATTAAGATCTAAATGTTCTCATAAAATATCTGATAAAATATATTCTTTATATTACTTCATTGAATTTTACTTAATAAATCAGAAAATTAAATTAGATAAAATCAATTTTTATAGAAATATAGATACAGATAAATACGTAAAAAATTAGACAAAAAGTCATCAAACTGAAGAGAGAATATCAAATAATTAAATTAATTATTCAAATTAATTTAGAAGGACAATATTATGCCCACTACGATTGTATTTTCAATGCCTTATCAATCTATAACAATCAAATCGCAATATTCGTACAAAGAGCTTACTATTTTATTTATGTAACTATTAAACTTGCTATTCTTTGAAAACATAATACCATTGATAAATTAAATTAATAATAATGAGACAGATTATTCTTTATTTTGGATAATTAATAAGAAATTTAAAAAGATATGTTGACGCGAATCAAAGGTTGTTTTTTTGCTGGACGGTTCCGTGGTTTTTTTTTTGTCGAAAGCTGATGTTATTGTCCTTAATTACATTGCGAATCAAATGACCCGTGTTATCGGATTACATTTTCACTGTATTAAGTTACACAAATTAGCATATCATTGTTTGTTCTTTATAACTAATATAACTTTTATGTATATTTAAATAAATGACGGATGAATAATTGAGGACACTTTAATCATTTACAATTAAATATTACTAGATTATATATATGGCCGGCACATAACTCAGTCAGTATTTCATATCATTGATCCTTTTTTATCTTTTCATAATATTTCTTTTTGATTATTTTGAAAGTTCAGTAGAAGGTGTATATGTTCTAATAACAAACAGCGGTTAAGAAATCTAATTTAATAAATTTGATATAAAATATTTTTAGTCTTCATTTTTTTTGAATGTCAGAAAATGTCTAGATGTCTTTTAAACGTCCGACATATGTAAAAATTTAATAAATGAGGATTTTCTTTAATTATCTCTGGTAGTGCATTCAATAAAGTACATTTTTGTTTCGCATTGTTTAGAATTGTAATGTTTTATATTTAAAAATTAAAGTTAAAATATTTTTAAATTTTTAAATTTTCTGTATAATTCTCATTTTTTAACTTTATGATTGTATTTAATTTCAATTTTATATTGAATTTTATATTTAAAAAAATTATATTGAAAATATGCTACAAGTTTCGTGTTTTGCATATTATATCTTTACATTCTTCATTCACACATATATAATTATTTTTCTAATCTCTTGTTTACTGTCATGGATAAAACTATTGGATAAGTGAGAAATTGGAACAAATGATATTGAATATTGTATTTGAATAGTTTTTTCTAATTATTTTTAATTGTTTTTTTTGCGAATCCAGTAGCATTTTTTCATAAGGGTAAGATTAATGTTCCATCCTCACAATTATGTACTAGCTTCGTCAATAACAGTAATCGTTCTAGTGTTAGTATTAGATGGTACATTCATGAAACGCCATTTCGGTTTGACATCTTGCTCATTAGTTGTTGATTGAACGCTACTAATCTGACCGCAATTGGATTGATTTGTCTTGGATCGGCCCAGGGACCATCTGCGTCCACAACGATCCATAATAATTGGCATCTCAGCAATCAGATTGTTCTCGAATTCCGAGAGCATAAGGTAGTTCTCGACCTTGTTGCACGAAGTTATACAATCGCCTATATAATCGAAATCTTCCAGTAAATTATCAGGTAAATCCATGTCGGCGATACCTTCCTCCGAGATACACGTGAGTTCCGGTTTATCTATTCCTAAAGCGTCTATCCCTTCACCTAGGACAGTAAAACAATAGTTATGTTGAGTATTCAGTGCATTTATAATATCATTACTACGCAAAGTTTTATTTTGCATTTTACAATGTGCCTCATTTGTCATATTGTACAAACGAAAATAAAAATATCAATTTAGCTATTTGAAAAATTGAATGTATCATATAAGTAGGTATATGAATAATAAGAAAAAATTAAAGATTTAATGAAGTTATTTTTTTTACTTGAGTTATTATTAATATGAGAATTAATGATAAATATTTCAAAAAATAATACAAAAAGAATCAAAAGTAATAGTGTAACGATCAGAGTTTGAGATTATATACTCATACAGCATGATTATTCCAATATAATAATCATCATATCACAGATATTGCATCTTCGTGAATGAGAGAGAATGCACGACCACAAAATTGAATGAATTCTTTTCAATGTGAGCTTTACTCCTATTCCTCAAATAACTGTAGACGTTCGGTCTAGATATATTATGTCTATAATTGCAGCGTTCCAGGAATACTGCAGTAATATTATAAATGTTGTAATAATATCGTCGCAATATTGTATTGAGAGTAAAATATGTTATAAATAGGATATAACACATGTTATTATTAGAGTCCGAACTGACTGAAACTTTTACCAAAACCGAAAACGAACACTCATTACGTGTTAGTTTCAACTCAAACCATATAGCTCTTCTTCATAAATATTAATTTAATATGTGTAATTATTGTTTCAATAATTAAATTATTTGATATTTATGAAGAAGAAGTATTTATATTCTTTGGCCAAAATTGACACACAACTGAAATTTCGGTTTTCAATTTTGGCCCAAAAATTTAATTATTGTTTCAATAAATTATGATACTTATGAAGAAAAAGTATATAATATAAAGTATATATATAGGCATGACCTATTTATACATATGGTCTTTATAGGATTCCTATTTTTTAAATTTTGATTTCGGTTTCGGTTGAAATTGATATGCAGCCGAGTGTTTCGGTTCAGTTTCGGCAAAAGTTTTGGTCGGGCTCTAATTATTATAAATAATAAAATAATATTTAATAAGAATTTTTTTCTATGTTCTCTCTCTCTCTCTCTCTCTCTCTCTCTCAATTTTTTTTGTATTCATTATAAAAATTGGAAAAAGAATAAAAAAGAAAAAAAATACCTTGTACTGGAGCAATATCGGCCCCTAGAATGAGTGCTGCAGCTGTCGTTCCAGCTGCTCCAGCAGCAGCTAGGTGAGTTCCCTCGTTTTTAGGTTCTTGACTGAACGATAATCTTCGTCGTTGAGGACAACTAACCGAGGAGCATATATGTTTTTTACCATTAGCTCTGGTGTGTTTATGTCTTGATAAATTTCTTCTATGTAAATCGATGAAGAAGAGTGTAAAACTGCCAACCAGAACACATGTCGAGCTGAAGTAGTAGCCAGCCTTACCACCACAACCCACATTTATGTATCCTGCAAAATATATTTTTCCTCACTCTGCATTATAATGCAGTGTAAAACTGCTCGATGTTTCAGGATGCTCATTAAGGCATAGAATTGAATGTTGATATTTCAAAGAATCGTTTAAAAAAATGTTTTTTAAATTTTGTTAGAAATGAAACACTTCATTATTGCTTAAAATGATACAGTATCGATCGAATGAGACAATATAAATTACTCACTATAAATTTTTCAGACTAATTATACTCGTTAAGATATAAGTATTATTATATTAGACTTTTTTTTACCTGATATTGGTACTCCGATTGCAATTGGTATCGCTTGAGAACATTGAACAAAACCCCACGTTCTGGCAAAGTTCCGCGCTCTTACTCTTTCGTATGTATACATCTTCAGACTGTAATGATAGCCGCCGCAGAAGATGCCTATAGGAAAATCAGTATTTTTTTATTATTCGTAATGTGCTCTTAAATTTTATTGCGAGAGGCAGAGAAGAAAAGCCAGATTGCTTGTCACTAGAGCTCTATTACTTCTCTTTTGCTATGGTAACTTTAAGAGTTTTGATGTTAAATCATAAATTTTTCATAAATTTTGTTACTCCGGAAAAAAGACAAAGTATGTCAAAATCCAGAAATTATCCTCATATCTAGAAATTATCTTCTTATATGTAAATTATTCAATAAAATAGTAATGAATGAGATTTTACCGTAAATCCACGCGAACATAACATATCCGTGATAATTTCCTTGAACGGCAGTAAGAGCGAGAATGCAAAGTCCGCACACAAAGACAGCTGCTTGTGTAAGATATTGGCGGGCTATCCTGCATTCAACGTTGCGATGAACGACTAGAAGTCCAAAAGCTACGCAGCCAAGAGTCCAAGCTAACCCGAGATAAGCCTGTAGTAGGACGACAGTATCACCAAGACCTTCTTCTTCCGCTTGATGCGCCTGCATAAAAAATCATTTATGCAATATATGTGCAGCGGATTTTAATATTTATCGTTTTTTTGTGATTAAGATCGAGAAAACAAGTCAGTTTATGCACTAATTTGTATTACAATTACAGCAAATTATGAATTTTTGTTATTTTAAGTAATAATTACATATTGCTTTTAGACAGTTAAAAATAACTGTTACAGAAGGAAATGGTATTTTATGTTTAAATAATATTTAGGAGATTCAAGTCCATTCAATTTTGATGTAATTTTTCCAGTAAGCAACATTTCAGCAACGTTGTAGCAACGTTATAACATTGTTACAACGTTACCAAAATATTTCAAAATATTTCCTGCTTTACTGAGTCGTAATGTTTGAAGGTTTTAAAATACATACTCTTTGCGTCAATAATATGAAAATAATAGAAAATTTGTTTCGCATGAATTGTTGATTAAATAAAAAATCGTAGAATGTAGATAGAATACATATGGCGTCACTTATACTTCCAAATTTACTCGTCATAGTTACCAGATAAAATATTGGCGTATTGATTCCGAATGCCGAAATACTGGTAGATACCAAAAGAATCCGCACCGTTTTACTTTTCAAAGTGCTAAAATCGAAAAACGGTGGTTTGTCGGTGGCTTTGTTTTTGTCCTTTATCTTGCGTTTTTGATTTTTCAAGTGTAAAATTGCTCTTCGTTGAGGATGATACAGTGAAGCGCTACGGTAAAAAGTGCCAAGAATAAATGTGAGAAAGACCACCCCCGTGACAGCTTGAAGGCCAAGTCGCCATCCGATTTTACTGTAATAAAAAATTTTTATATGAGCTTTAACTGGTTTCTTTCAATGACGAAAAATATTATGATTAATCGCAGAATTTATGTATTAATTAATGCATATATTCTGCGATTAATCACAATACTTTTAGATAAAAGGAAATTTTACATGGATGTGTATTTGTAAAACAATAATTGAGTACATTGAAATAAGTTCTTGATAATATTTATTACAATTTATGCAATTGTAATTGTGTTTACGTAATAATGTACATACGTGATTGCTCCTTTTATAAAAGCAGACATAACTGCTATACCTAAGCCGCTTCCTGAGACGATAAAAATTTCAACCAATTCTCTCTTCCTCTTGAAATATTGAGCTACCATCAGCGTACTACAGTCTCGTGTCATTCCAACCCCAATCCCTATAGAAGAAAATATACCGATGTCTCAAATCGTTGTAACTATCCCTAGTTTGTTCATAGGATTGGGGATAACAATATCTTTCCTTTCGCCGACTATTCTACACTTTCGAAATTGAGGCTTGTAATCGTTCTCGCAAAGTTTTGCATAAGAGGGGAAGTTAGGGTGGAAATGGATTGAACTAATAGACTAATATTAGTAATGAATATAGATTTAAGCGAAAACAAAGATGACGCACTTGCTAAAATAATAATAGTATTATAAAAACACAGTACTCCAATAATAATAGAATTATAAAAATACAGAGAGTGCTATTGGAACTGTTATTATTTTTTTTTATATTATTGTAATAGATTATCGTGTTAATTTTATAAATTCATATAAATTTAAATTGTCAAGTTAGCACGTTGTCTATTAATATTATATAAAAAAAAAATAGTGCCAGTAGCACTTTTTATAGTTTTACAGTTTTTTTTATCAAAATAAAAAAAGTTCCGCATTTTTTATATAAAAAAAAAAATCAAAACTGAAAATATGGTGGGTCAACATCACGAATCTAACATGACGCTTCCTCTCTAAAATATAAAAAAAAATATTTTTACTTTTGATAAGTTGTTTCATTTTTTAAAAAATCTCTATCTTTGCGTCGTTTACAAGAATAATTCCTAGTTACAAGTTCATGCTTATAATTGTGTTACTGCAAATAGTCCTTTGTTTTCCGTTTGCAATTTTTACTTACCAACGACGGTGCCGTAGCTGAAGAACAATTGATGAAATTGCGAGGCGAAGGAAGTGAAAAGGCAGCCGAGGGCGGTAACGAGACCGCCCAAAACTGCTGTTACTCTTGTACTTTTTTTTCGGCAAAACGCTATTGTAACCGGCGACACGAGCAGGGCGACTCCCGTCGACATCGCCCCCAACCATCCTATAAAATGGAAGAAAATTGTGTGGACATTCCACAAATTTTTTACTTAATCGTATAAACATATAGATGACATTTCCAGATAAAACAGCTCAAAGAGTATGATTACGGGAAGATGGGGTGGCAACTATAATCATGTTCCATACGTTCTCTTGTTCAGTACTATCTAATAATACAACATTCCAGATTCTTATCGTTACGGGAATATGGATACCGTCTATGTATTTATCCACATACAATGTAAATTAATTCCGCGGTAAAATGTCTGTACGATGTAAGAAGTCTCCTCACAGAGATGTTATTAACTTTTTGCAGGACCGCCAGCGGCGTGTCGTTGATCGACGGTTTCGAAGGAGATATAACTTTCGTGTATATCGCTCGCAATTTAGTCTGTAATAAAAAAGTCAAATCAAACGCATGGTTATTCCAAAAAGGTTTTGATCTTCGTTATGTGCGTTGTAGATAACAGAATGCTTCAACTGGCGCCCGTTTCTTATTTCGTCTGGCATGTTATTCTTTCCCACTTTTCTTTATCGTTTATGCTATTTATTTCATTTTATTTCTTTTGTTTATACATTTAAAGTCGATAAAAGCCATCGGTTCTTGTGTGTTTGTTTAATGAACGTTGAATGACGTCTGGCGAGAAATGAGATTGATTCGCTATTTGTGCAATGACGATGTATTTTTTTTGCGGATTTCCGGGCGACACATAGATAGTAAAACGAATTTGCTTTGCAGATTACGTGGCTACTGCATATTGCCTAGCATTAGAATTCGACGAATCTTCTCCATAACTAATACTTTACGATCGGAGGATAAGTCACGATGAGCGATATGACGGAAAGTTTGTAATCCGCATCGATTGACTTTCCGTTTTTGGATGTCGTTTGATCATAAATTTTTGGGAATAATATGAAAATAAATACCTCGGAATGCAATTTACATTTAATTGAAACCATTTTTTAGAGTAAAATATTCCGATCTAATTTTTTTCTCTTGATATGTATATACATATGTTTGTATTTTTTTCTCTTCTTTTTAATTCCATTTGCATTTCATCTCCTTTGTCACCATGAGTGAGTGGGCTATAATTTTCGTACGGTACATTTCCTGCCTACGTAAATGGATGAAACGTCTAACAACTTCATATATTTTTTTATATGACTTGCAATACCCCTGTATCTTTCAAATAAGCTATTGCCATATCCTAGATACTCGACCAGTCAGAGCCAATAAAGTTTACGCGTTATCATTCTGCTTTTCAAATGATTTATGATAGTCACGGTATCTAAAGAATTCTCGAGAAATGCATCTCGTGCTAATGAATACGACGCTTCGTACTCTTATACTTCGTTCTTTCTCTTTCCTCTCATTCTTACCACGATATGCTTAGCACGTCTATCGCGATGGTGAAATCCTATCGATAAATCACGTCTGAGTCTGGGATAAAGTCATGGACGCCTCTTGCATCTGCTTAAGTTTTGAAGCAGCATCGCAGGTCCAACAATAGTTTAAATAAATAGTGTAATTTAATATAACAATAGTTTATAACAATAGTTTAAATAGTGTAAACAACAATAGTTTACGTCTATGTAAATTATTATAAATTGTATCTATAAATAAATCTTTTTTTAATAAAAGATATTGTAAATTACATAATTATACTTGCTTTAAATTTTAGCTTGTAAATATTTCAATTGCACATATCTTAATTCTTAGGGAAGTACATATATATTTCTTCGTATATATATATTTTGATAACTTTCTAAAAAGTGTATTAATAAAATTATAATCTTTTTTTTGCGAAAGAATCTTTTTTTCGCTGACCCACGTACGCGATCCTTCTCACTAACTAAGATATTAATTAATACAGCCGTCTATATAGGTATTAAACAAACACTCGATTGTGGTTAAAATTATTTTAATAACGACATCAGGTTTTTAAGCGGACTCGCTTAGACAGTCTTTTTAGAGAATCAAGTCTTTAATTAATTTTTTAATTAATTTTACGAGTCTCATCGATACGCGCGCTCATCAATCGCGGTGAATATATTTTATTATGGAAGTAAGTAACGACTCGGCTTACGGAGACAAATGGGCGCCTCACCGTGAGCACGCGAGAAAAAGCAGTTATTAATCTCACTGTAGCTACGACGGGATGACGGATGCGCATTAAATATCGCTGGCCAACGGCGATGACTTATACGCGTGGGAGTATCGTTTAAGACGTGTCTTTCGCAGAATTTTTCTTCTTTCTCATTCTGAATGCCGAGATTTCTGCAACCGTCTTGGAATTTCTTTCTGAGTGAGGGGGTAAATATATCTGGATTCGCCTTAGGATATACACGGGCTGTTTTCTGTTATTATCGCTTAGGACATCGAGGGGAAAAGAAAATTTAGGAGAGAAATTTGTATGCAGGGGTTACATCAAATTGAAATGCCTACTTGATAACATGATAAAACCTGTGATAAATTGTGATATTTTGAAAAATCTGAAGTGACAACAGTACTTTACATCACCGTTTAAATAAATTAATTTCCGGATATTTCCTTAAAAATAAAATAAAACATATTATCGCACAATTTTTTATTTTGTCGACATAATTTGATTTTTTAAAACTAAAATAACAAAAATGTTGTCATTTTATATGTTGCCCGAAAAATATAATTTTTGTTATCAAAAAATCTCCGTGGATGATAAACGGATAAAAAAAGTATACACTAACCGTACCAAAACTCAGACAAGTGTCTCTAAAATGTCTAAAGAGAAATATTATGAAGTACGATTAATTAAGAGAATATTCAAAATATGTAAGGCTGTATGTAAAAAGCATTCTTTGAAGAGAAAAAAATATATTTTTTAATATATCAATCCGCAATAGATTTATAGTTACGATAAATTTTTTAGTTCAAATTTTTGAGAATAATTATCTTTAATGCATCTCTTTTCTATTTTTTTGTACTTGCTAATAACAAAATTATACACATTGTATGGATGTAGAAAATATATATATATCTGAGATAAAGCAATTTCTGGTTCGTAAAGTCTAAAAATCTAAAAGAAATGTTTACTCCGTAATACTTCATACTTTACCACTTCTTTCGTCTCTTCTTCCGCTGTTTTTCGCGATCAAGTTCAGAATTCTTTATTGAGAATCGTGAGACCGACGAGTATTCTTTCCACCCCTGAGATAGTCTTTGTCGATGGGAATGGGTGAATCGACAACGAGAGTGAATTGGCGAGAGCGAGAGCGACTGCCATCAGGGTCAACGACTTGCAGATTGGTCGGGATTTTAGTTGGCTATCCTTGCGAAGAATGACGAAGAAGCTTGTAAAATTTCTAAAAAGTTTTTTGCTAAGATCTCGAAGGAGCGAAAAAGACAGAAGGGGTTGAAAGCAGTGCAAGTACATATTGCCTGTTATATTTGTTTTTTTCAATTTTTCTCATAGTTGTACAATTACAAAATTTTTGAATTTTTGCGTGATTGAATAGAATAAAAACGCAATTGATCATACATACAAAGATATATTTATAAATAAATACTAAAAATTAACTAAATCGATCATACAGTTTTATTAAATAAATTTTATAGTGGGACGTGTTGCTAAAATAAAACAATAAAAATGTAAAATTTTTCTGAATAATTAAATAAAATTAAAAAAAAATGTGATATAAAATGCGCATATTTATAATAATAAAATGCATACTGAATTGATCAAATAGTTTAATATTAAATAGATTTTACAATTAAACGTCTTGTTAAAACAAAACAATAAATTTGTAACATTTTTTTGAAGAAAAAAGTATCAATTTGTAAAGAAAATAATAATAACTTACGATTTACGATTTAATTTAATTTAAAATCTAATAACGTAAGTCATAATAAATATAACAAATTAATTATTGGTTTCTAAATGTAATTGCATTTCAGTATAAAATTTATCAAAACGTAATTTATTTAGTTAGAATTATATTTAGTCTGATTATTGTTCTTTTTTATAAATACCTTAATTAAAAATTGGGAAACGACGAAAATTTATGATATGCAATATTAAACATGATAATATAATTTGTATAATATTAATATATTAATACAGTAACAAAAAGTTTTCTCTTAAATATTTTAAATATATCAAAAGAATTGTTAGCAAATATATATCTTAGTCAATTAGACCATTTTTTGCTTTTTTCAAACGCTTCTTGCAAAAGAGATTCTTGCAAAAAAACAATCTATTTTCTTGTTCCATCGGATTACTGTTACTTTTTGTCATTTAAATTACAGATCTTGTTCAGAACATAATATCGCATCGCCGAATTAATGAAACTCGTTAATGTTCAAAGATAACAGGAAAAAACATAAAAAATAAATCACAACCGACGGATTCGCGTTTACGAGGACGATAATAATCCGCTCATGACGCAATTCTTTGCAAGGCGTGCTCTTAAAGAGACAACTCGAAAATGCTGCTGGCGTTGTGCTTAGAAGTATTAGAAACCAATTGAGAATATGATCTTATGCTTCATTTCTTTCTCGACGATAAAACTATAGAAGGTGTATTTTTGATATTTTATATTGAAAATAATATCATTTTTTAGTGTGGACTTTTTATATTATATATAAATTTAATTTATCGTTTCCATAAAACTATATCTTTTATATATGATTGGAAAACTTGAGTTACATGAAATACTTTTATATCTTATCAAACTCAAGCAATACAATTTAGAAATATTGTACTGCCTCAAAGAAGACATATTATTCAATAGTCTTATAAATATATAAATATCGAAAACACATACTTTTATAGATCGATTTATTTTTTATCCTATATTTTTTAAAGTATCAATTTTCTTATCTTTATATAAAAAAATTGATAATCTAAGACATAGAGAAGTATATATTTTATCAATAAAATAAGTAAATTTCAAGCTTTATAAAAGTATTGACTATTTTGTATTTGCAAGAAGCAGATTATATATATATATATATATA